GACCTTTAATAATAAAACAAGTCAAAATAAAATAAATAATATTTACACTAAATTTTTATTAAGACAAATAGTTAAATATTATATCCAAAATTTATATAATATATTTAATAACAGAGGTAGTTTATTTTAAACATATTGATACTTAAAAGATTTTTAGCTGAACAATAAGTTTTCATAACCCCGGGGATCGTACTAGTTAGAGCTAGCTAGTACTACGACAGTTTTTAAATATACGATGCTGTTAATTTTCGGATAGTATGTTTGATCATTCTCGTATTAAAAGAATTACTTAAATATTATTTATTTTGTTGTGGCTTTTCTTACATCAAAATCATTTTAAACATGGCTTATATTTTTCATATTTATACGGAATTTTTAATAAGAAGAATGGTTAAACTTTATATCCAAAAGTCAATATTGACGTATATTTAAAAACATGAGAGTGGAAATCAAGAGGGATATATATGCATGTTAAAATGGCAGAGATGATGACCTTAAAGCAATATTCACTATACATGATAAAACAAGGTTAGGGTTAAGAGAGGACACATCAATACATCATTGTCATCACATCAAGACATCATGAATTTCAATGCTTGTTTGCTTCCAGCTACATAGGAAATGCTAGCTATCTTCCATGTATGTCTTGATGGCATGCACAAATCTAGCGTAGATACGTGTACGGGTATAAAGAAAAGGCGTTTTTGGAATTGAAGAGCTCGATGCATCCTATCAAAAAGTACATGAAAGTATGCATGAAGACAACATATACTGACACACAAGACGAAAACAGAGTTCTAGCTTTCCCTCATTCGAACAATTAAAACATATGTGCTATTTCTCAAGAATTAATTGGAGAAGCCCACTTTGTACACCATAGGTGTTCAACTTGCATAGGTGGAGTGGAGGTATAGCAAGAGGATCTATGCAAATTGAAATTTGGCATATTTTTATCTTGCTAAAAACTTTGTTTCTTTATTTATCTCAAGTGGAACATTTTGTAATAATATACCTTTGGGCTTAATTTGTGTCTTTGATACGGCGGCCGGTTTATACATTCTCTAAAAGAAATTCTATTCCAACTAATAAGGTTACTTTGGAATACGATTTTTTTTCAAAATTTTGATAGAATTTGTTAAGTTCCTTTAAAAAATCCTCCATTTTCAAGGAGGCCCAAACCTATCCACAACACGGGTATGTTGATGAGCACAGAACATTTGTGTGTAAAACCAAGACATCATGCCCATGCATGTCTTGCTACCAATGTGTACAAAAAACAGACCTAGCTAGCTTGGGCCCCTTGTTTTTATTTTTTTATTATTTTTGTTGTGGATAAGCTCACACCCGAGAGCAACATGCAAAGCCATTGTGTCATTTTTTATGTTACACATATCTCTCTTTCTTGGTGTAAAACAATATTACTTAATGAGAGGGATACTCCCTAACAAAAAGTGGCAATGAAAGATTTATGAAGGGAATATATGTTTTGGCTAAAAGCAAACCTAAAGGAGTAGTAGTACAAGTAAAGAGTTATCTAGTTTCTTGGATACATGATTCTATAATATATAGAGTATCATTCCGTTGGTTCTCTCTACTCACCAAAGCTACCTAAAGGTTGCAGACGTAATCCACATTAATTTGTTGTAGGTAAAGCTCCACTAAGTGATGGATTAAGCTAGATAAATTGATTCTTAGGGATAAGGACATGGGCTTTAATTTTAGTGCTTATTGGAGCTTGTTCTACAAGCATGCATTTCAGCTAAATAGGTTTATATATGGAGTAAATTGACATCACGGTTAACAAGAAATGGAGCCACTCAAATACTTTCTCCATCTACTTTTGATAGTCATATTTCATCTTGGCACACAGACCAATGATAAATAATTACTCCCTCCAGTTCTATATTAATTGACGTTTTAGACAGTATTGCAAATACCAATAACTTATTAATTAGATCCATATATCCTGTTATACCCTTATTAAATATACTCCAACTATCTCATCTGGTTAGCGCCACCATTCCCAAAGTGTGAGGTTCTGTGTTCGAGAACTAATACTGTAAGCAACAATTAAGTTTTGCAAACGTCAATTAATATAGAACTGGAGGGAGTATAATTATCATCTAGTCACGCATTAAATCCGAGAAAGTCATTAAGATGATATGTTGTTGGATTAAAATATGCCTATCAAAAATAAATTTTTCAGATTTAGAAATATGGTTATCAAAAGTAGATGGAGGGAGTATTATGTACTATTGATTAACAATGCCATGCTTAAGTATTTAATAAGGATAAAATAGGAATATGCATCCTAATTAATTACTTCTTGGTATTTGAAATCCTATCCAAAACGTCAATAAAATTGACACCGAGGGAGTAATACTTTACATAGGACACCAAGGGTGTGACGATGAGAAAAGGTTTGGATTGAAGGCCATGTCAATTTAGTTAATGAAGTTATCAATTATAATAACTCCAGGCACAGTAACAACGGTAACTAGAGATGCATAGGATCATTCTACCACTAACAATTAGAAAAACCTACATGGTAAAGGAAAACAAAAGGTACTCCCTCTATCCTTAAAAAGACCTTATTTTTAGCTATATGCCTATTCAAGATGTACAGTTTTCATAGTCTATAATTCTTCTCGTAAACTTTTGAAAGCAAACCGGTAGAATCCCAATCCCAATCGCCACCCTTGAGGCGAGGACTAATAAGAGGGATGAAGTTGTGGTTATTTTAGAGAGCGACAACTAATTAAAAGCCACCCTCTCTAATCATGGACGTCTCAAACAATAAGTAGAAATGAAGCGAGGTAATTCTATTTAAAAAAATAGCCAATGATTAGGATTAATAGGATAGTACGTAGTACCAGTACAATCAGGACACATCTTACTTTCCCCTTTATTGCTATGAACATATATCTCCATCAGCACATTAATTTATTTCAGCAAAGAAGGACGATGTGTTTACTTGCATCGATCCTAATCATGTCATTTACTCACTTTTTGTATTTTGTTTGGAGTCTGCCAATAATAAGTGCACAGGCAATCATTCTGGTGCAGTCCAATATACAATATATATGATCTTTTGCTCACATACACAATCAATTAATTAATCTGCTCAACATATAAGGGCAGAGTTGTACAATTTAATAACTAACCTGTTAAATTTTTGAATCGTCTAATTCGGCAAGATCCTTAATTCAGACCAACTAAAATGGTCGTTTAAGAAGCAAATAAGGTACACAATTATCTAGAGTACGTTTTGCTTTTCCTTTCTTTCTTCAGAAACAAGTTCATGCTACCATGATATTGCTTAGAGCCTATGGCAACATTGCCCGAACCATGTTTCTGCATAACTACAACTGTCCTAGATCACTTATTGCGCAGCACAATCAATTATTAATTTGCTCATCATATAATGGCAAAATCGTGTTAAATTTGTGAATCTAATTCCCCAAGATCATTTAATTCTGACCAACTAAAAAATGCATGGTTCCTTCGTTTTATAAGCAAATATGGGAAATAATTCTCGAGAGTATATTTCCTTTATTTTAGGAAACAAGTTGATGTTACTAGGATATTGCTTAGCCCCTTGGCAACATTGCCTGAACCTCTGTTTCTGCCTAACTACAACTGTCCTAATCACTAATTAATCACACAAGCTTGAACTTAATTATTAATCACCAAGACATGTGACAGAATCAGGACCAAACTATATTCACAAATTGACACACCATAGGAAACTTCTAATATCAAGCATCCTCATACATTTCTTCCACCCAATTAAATTAACCATGCAAACAAATCTTAATCTACAACAAAAGGAAAAGAATCCATCTTACCTACCTAAACACCACCATAACCAAATGCTTCTGTCTTGGAGTACTCTCTCCATCCTCGGTACCTTATAGAGTTTAAAATTTGTGCCAGAATATAACATCTCCATCGCTCCACCTACTTCTTTATTTCAACAAATCACAACTATCTCCCAATTAATTTATCTACATACTTCATCATCTCAACCAATCATAACTATCTCCTATTTAATTTCACATACTTTCTTAACTTCGGTGTAAAACTCTACACATCCTTAGAGCAGGTACAATAGCAGACTACAAGCCGGCTATAAACACATATCGATGAGATAAAATAGGAGAGAGAAGAGCAACATGATACAAATTTATAACTAGCTGCAGCACGGACTGCAAGACGCAATGTGTGGATGACAGGTGTGACCAAGTATCAATAGTGTAGTATATATTTAGAGCAAGTTTAATAGTATAGTCAACTATGGTCTCTAAATCATTTATAGTTAATTCATACAATAGTTACCTATAAACATGTACTACATAATTAATGTATGGCCATATATGTCATATACACATGAATCTTGGAGTCCGTGTTGCAGCTGGCTACAAATCTGTAGCCCGCTGCTCTTATCTCTCCTCTTTTATCTTCTTAAAATATATTTATAGCTGGCTTATAGTCTGCTATTGTACCTGCTTTTATAGGTAAATATTGTATGTATTGGCTATTAAACTGATCATAAATGATTTGAAGCTAATAGTTGGCTATACTATTAAACTTGCTCTTATATGTTGGGACGGAGAGAGTAATTACTCCCTCCGTTTCGAAATGTTTGACGCCGTTGACTTTTTAGCACATGTTTGACTATTCGTCTTATTTAAAAAATTTAAGTAATTATTAATTCTTTTCATATCATTTGATTCATTGTTAAATATATTTTTATGTAGCCATATAATTTTACATATTTCACAAAAGTTTTTGAATAAGACGAACGATCAAACATGTACTAAAAAGTCAACGGTGTCAAACATTTCGAAACGGAGGGAGTAGCTTTTAAGTGTCCTCACAACATACTCTAACAAACTAGCCCCCACACCAAAACCCCTTTCCCCATTGGTCATTTCTTATTCCATTTCAAATAACACATACTTACACATATCTCCAAACTCCTATAAATACATCCCTTTCCCCCCTCTCACCATTGCACACACACCACCCCAACACACACAACACAAAACACACTAACTACAAGACTACTTGTACTACTACTCTTGCAAGAAGAAGCCAAAGAACAGCTCAAGTGCAACTCTACTTGTACACGCCATGAGGCCAGTAGCCGAGCTCGCGAGCGCGCCGGCGTCGTACGCGCACGCGGCGAACGGGACGGCGGCGCACTCGCCGTGGCAGTCGCCGGTGCCGTACCTCTTCGGCGGGCTGGCGGCGATGCTGGGGCTCATCGCGTTCGCGCTGCTCATCCTGGCGTGCTCCTACTGGAAGCTCTCCGGCTACCTCGACGGCGGCTCGGGGAACGGCCAGGCGTCCGGGTCGGCGGCGGCGGGGGAGGGCGCCGAGGGGGAGAAGGGATCGGCGGCCGGAGCGGCCAGGCCGGCGCTGGGGTTCCGGGAACACGTGGTGGTCATCATGGCCGGCGACGAGAGGCCCACGTTCCTCGCCATGCCGGCGACGAGCCGGCCCGCCGTCGAGCTCGGTGCCGCCCCGGTGGCCAGCTCGTGCGGCTGCTCGCACTCGGAGGAGGAGAAGAAGGTGGAGGAGGTGAGCTCGCCGCCGCCGCCGTCGGAACGCGACGCCGACGACGACGCGGCGAGCCGACGCCATGAAAGCAGCAGTAATACAAGGCAGCAAGAAAGCTCGCAATAAAAGCAGCCGTTTCTTCAGTTTTTTTTTCTCTCCTTTTTTTGGGTGGAGTGATCACTTTTTTCCCTCCTCTTTTTTTTTTTAACTTTCTGTATGATGGTGGTGTTAGATTTTAGCTGGACAGGTAGTAGATTCTTGACTTGATTGGTTGGGTGAAATTAATGAGCCGCCAAACTTCGCTAGAAGTTTTGCAAAATGGAAATTTGCTCTGCAATCTGTGTGCTTAAAATTTGAGTATGTTTTACAATGTCCATAAAACTAGTAAATTATAATTTATCTGTAAAGTTAGCACAAAATTATGAAAATCTGTAAGTTATGTAAACTTGAATATTATCTTGGAAAAATGATACTACAGTATGTACAAGAATATGACAGTTAAATTTTGGGGAAAATGACTTGTTTTAATTCAGTTTAGAACATGCAGGCAAAAAGAAAAAGGAAAATGTTTGAATTCCAGCTGTTTCAATCAGCTGATAACTACGAGTAACACAGGTTTAGGAAACAATCAGAAAGGTACCCAACTTCGTATGGCACTTAACTATTCCGTGTGGTCAAGAAATGCCAAGTGAGGATGGCAGTTGATAGTACCACTGATCAGTTAACATTGTTCAGATCACGTAATGGAAATGTTTCAGCTCAAAAAGCAAATCGATTTCATACACACTTGCGTCACCTACACAACTGGTATGGTTCTGCTTTGGGTTTCAGACAACTTGAAGGCACTACACATTTACAGCTCAGTAATTTAATTTTACAGGAACAATTATTTGCAGTTCAATCAGGTCTTACAAATTGACAAGAGAGTGAAAGCAGCAGCCAGCAGTACTACACAGTTGCCAATCTGCCAAACATGTTCAGAGTCAGATAAGGGCCTCAGGAATGAAACATTGTGGTGATGTTTTGTCCATGAAGAGCAGAGTGGGTCAGGTTTCTTAGACAGATTCTGGTAACATTTCCAGCTCATGTTTATCTCCTACAACATGGCGCCAACATACAGCTGCCAAGTAAAATCAGAACGAAACTGTGGTCCATCAGTCAATAGATTGTTCTCCCATCATTTCACCCACAGCTGATTATAAGCCTTAACACTTACTAGTGAAAGAAAATAGATTTATAATCCAAATTTTGGCTACGGCTGATAAACTGAAGAGGAAAAGATGGAGCCGTTGACCCAAGAAACTATCAACTTATCTTGACCAATGCTGTTCACTCAAAGTATCAGGCCTAAATTACTTTGGCATCATATCATTCTTCCCTTAATCTGAACTTCTGAAGAATGCAGTGGGCAAAGAGTATAATTTCAGACATGTTTATCTCGTTCCTGCTGTATTCCTGTCGTACTAAGTACATGGTGTTTCATCATCCACGTACTGCAGAAATCAACCGAGAAGTTCATGTTGCATCAGATTCGGCTTGCCGATGGATACACGCACAAATGTGCAGGAGCAACCACGGATTCGCACATGGATTCCTGGAATCAAACGACGGTAGCAGCAAAAATGTACATAAGGATGTGGTGATCTCAGCTGTCACTGTTAATTCCAAATCCCAGATGAATCATGATCACATTTCCAATTCACCATAATCCTACTTGCCTAGGAACAAATCATGCCATCCATGAACATATCAATGATCGATTTGTCCATGTATCTATCTACTCGATGAATGAATCGACGGATCCTAGGTACGCAGCTTCGTTTCCGAATACCGATTCCAGCTTATTCCATTTGGCAGCAGCCAGGAACATTTCATATCAAAGTGAGTAACATGGTTGCATCGATCGGAATTTCCGTTTCAATTTCGGCCGGGATTCGGATTCGAATTCGGGTTGCCTCCTAGTGGTTGGTTGAATGGTTGCTTTCTTGGCGTTGCTAGCTAGTGGAAGAGCACCTGAAGAAGCACCGGGAATTCGGGAGCTTGGGCCTGCCTGTTGGGAGATCCCTGAATTTGATTCTTCTCCTCTCCCACACTTCAACTTGTGCCGGGATTTGATTTGATTCTCGGGAAAAAGGGGTAGACTTTGATCAAATGATGATCAGTGCTTGTAAACGAGTCGTGATCATGCAGAGTTTGAGGGCTCTGATGATGAGAAGCTGCTGTGTTTTGGCAGGATCAGTGTGGGCTTTCCTGCAGAGATTGTACATGTGTTCGTCCGGATTTTTTTTTGCAGAGTTTTGCTTGGAGATCTGGTGCTGGGTGAATTGATCAGCCTCATCTTTTCGCTGATGCCTATCCTTATAAACCAAAATTTGAATTTTTAACCTTAAATTTATTTTTCAGCATTTACTTTTAAATCGCTAAGAACACGTATATAGAAGTTTTATTCATAAATTATTTTCCATTTGTAAATATGCTGTTTGACTATGACCCCGGATGTTTCAGGTTTTTGTATATGAAGACGAAACGCCATGCGGACTGCCAATGATTGTTTACAAGACAAGAAGCTTTTTTGCAAAATAGCCACCACACGTCAATTTCTCCGTGAATAAAAAAAACAACTCGGGAAAAGGAGAAAAGTGGATCCTATAAGGTATTAGTGGCTGGGAATATCTGAAACAGGAATTATTTTATAAAATATAGGACTGCTACCAGTAATAATGGTCTAACGTAGGGGCTAATGTGAAGAAAATACCCTAAATTCCTATTTTGAAACAACCGCACAAGATAGTGCGGCGTTTTCTTTGATAAAGAAGGAATAAAGTACAAGCCTATAGTCCTGGGAGACTATAGTTAGAAAAAAAAAATATACTATCACACCACGCGTCTACGTATGATCCTACTGCTTATTAATACCGGTCCGAGAGAAACAGGGACCGTTTTATAAAATGCCAAGATCGCTACCGCCCTACCTAGTATCGATCCGAAACTGGATCAGTGTGCAAAATGCCCATTGATAAGTGAACGATCCAAAACTGAGGTCATTAGTTTCTTTGAAAAACAAAAATTACAGGGACCATCTACTAATCTCAAGCTGGCATTTGTGTTGCCAGTTGTTTATGCCGCGTGGCATGGTTAAACATCAGGATAAATCCTATGATATGTGTGAGATAAAGAAAAAAAAGTAGATGTGATATCAACCCTAAAAATTCGTCATATACGGTGGCTGATTGTTTTGACATTCGGCAAAAACTTCATAATCAGAGGAGGAGCTAACCTGCAGATGAATCTGCTTTTCTAATTTCTATCCATGTATGGGCTGGAAGCCGGAAGAAGTGACCTTCAAGCCCATGTAAGACTGTTCTCAAAAAAAAAAAAAGCCCATGTAAGACCAAGCTGAAAGCCTGAAACACTACTCTTCTTCGTTCTTCCACATGGAAGCCAAGCTACACGCCAATACTGCCGTTTGTTTCCTCTCCTCTCCCCACAGGTTGAACTGAATCATATCAAAGCCAGGTCAACACAGAAAGGTGAGCCATAGCATTGCAAATGGTGCATCATAAAGATTGTTAATTTCTGCCGGCCATGGACGGATTCTCAACATGATAAGTAGTACCTTTCACTTGCCTCTTCTTTACACAGTTCGTTCACTTCAAAGCATTTGCACATTAAATCCACGACCCTTCAGCTATCTATCTCAGCTCCAATCTGCTGCACATTTCCAACAGAGTGAGACAACAAATTAAGCAAAGCAGCGTCGATCGTCAGTTCATCGAGAGCGCAGCCATGGGGTCGGCGGCGAGCTCCTGCTGCGGTGGATCGAAGAAGGTGGAACAAGGGTATATATGGACAGAATGGCACAGAATTTGGTTGTAAATGAGATGATTTTGTAGTGGCATTTTGGGTTGATTTTGTGAATGAATTAGGTGCGTGAGCGCGTCGATGAGCAGCAATACGTGGAGGATATTCAGCTACAAGGAGCTGCACGCGGCGACGAACGGGTTCAGCGAGGAGAACAAGCTCGGCGAGGGCGGCTTCGGCAGCGTCTACTGGGGCAAGACCTCCGACGGCCTCCAGGTTATTACACTTGATAGCCAATCGGGGAAAACTATTTTTTGATCCCTCGAGATGAGCATGTCCCTCGTTTCTTTGAAGAATATCCAAACGGTTATAAAAACTTCTTAAACATTCGACAATACTCATACAACACACATATATATTATTCTACAAAATTTTAGGTCCAAACTCAACTGACACATTTGTGATATGAAAAAATAAATAAATTGGGCTTATGAATAGTAACACTTTTTTTTTATTTTTTTAATATGCATAAGTCGAATTTGAACTTGGTTTTAAGTCGAATTTGAACTTGGTTTTCGGTGTACTGATAGGTGTCAATATACTCTGCATTATCAAATTTTTCAAAAAATATTTTATCACTATTTACATTGGATTTGTAAGAAAAAAAAAGGTGAACGAGGGATATCTCTCGAGAGATTAGAATCAATTCCCGCTAATCAGTCCCGCTAATCAGTGACAGCTTGATGAGCTTCACCGCCGAGTTGTTTTTCTAATGGCGATCGGGTTTTTTTTTTGTGTGTGTGTGTTGCAGATCGCGGTGAAGAAGCTGAAGGCGACGAACACCTCCAAGGCGGAGATGGAGTTCGCGGTGGAGGTGGAGGTGCTCGCCAGGGTGCGCCACAAGAACCTCCTTGGCCTCCGCGGCTACTGCGCCGGCGGCGCCGCCGGCGACCAGCGGATGATCGTCTACGACTACATGCCGAACCTCAGCCTCCTCTCCCACCTCCACGGCCAGTTCGCTGCCGACGTCCGGCTCGACTGGGCGCGCCGCATGGCCGTCGCCGTCGGCGCCGCCGAGGGCCTCGTCCACCTCCACCACGAGGCGACCCCCCACATCATCCACCGCGACATCAAGGCCAGCAACGTCCTCCTCGACTCCGGCTTCGCGCCGCTCGTCGCCGACTTCGGGTTCGCCAAGCTGGTGCCGGAGGGGGTGTCGCACATGACCACCAGGCAAGGTTTTAAATCTCCCGCTAAACTGCCGCTATCTTCTGCTACAGCTATTTGAGAAGGGTCTAGCTATTTGCTTTCATGTACTTCCTTCTTCTCTCAATGTTTGACATCGTTGGTTTTCTTAAACATGTTTGACCGTCCGTCTTATTCAAAAACTTTTATGAAATATGTAAAACTATATGTATATATAAAAGTATATTTAACAATAAATCAAATGATAGAAAAAGAATTAATAATTACTTAAATTTTTTGAATAAGACGAACGGTCAAACATTTTTTAAAAAGTCAACAGCATCAAATATTTTGGAATAGAGGGAGTACAATTTAGCCGCTATAGAGGCTAAATGTCTTAGCCTACTATTTGAAACATTGCCATCAGGGTGAAGGGCACCCTGGGGTACCTCGCGCCGGAGTACGCCATGTGGGGGAAGGTCTCCGGCGCCTGCGACGTCTACAGCTTCGGCATCCTCCTCCTCGAGCTCGTCTCCGGCAGGAAGCCCATCGAGCGCCTCCCCTCGGGGGCCAAGCGCACCGTCACCGAGTGGGCGGAGCCGCTCATCGCCCGCGGCCGCCTCGCGGACCTCGTCGACCCGCGCCTCCGCGGCGCGTTCGACGCCGCGCAGCTCGCCCGCGCCGTCGAGGCCGCCGCGCTCTGCGTCCAGGCCGAGCCCGAGCGCCGCCCCGACATGCGCGCCGTCGTCCGCATCCTCCGCGGCGACGCCGACGCCAAGCCGGTGAGGATGAAGAGCATCAAGTACGCGGATCACCTCATGGAGATGGACAAGAGCAGCGTGTACTACGGCGAGGACGGCGGCGGCGACGGCGAGGAAGACATGGACGACGAGGAGGTGGAGGAGTACTCGCTGATGGAGGACAAGAGCAGCGTGAACTTCGGGGTGTTCGGCGCCATGCCGGTGCAGACCATGCACGATCCCTACGTCAGGAGGTTTGGAGGAGGAGATGGTATCAAGATCTGATTTGGCCATGCAGTCACTTGTGCTTTTTTTTTCTCTTGAACATTTTGTGATTTTTTGGATTTATTTTAAGATAACTATTTGTGGTTTTTTTATATGGAACTTGAAATTCAGTTCATGCATTCGAATCTCAGTTATTGTAGGACCCAACTCAGTGACATATAGCAAATGGACACTTCAGTTTAGTCAGTGTACGTGTTCTCAATTCCACGAGCAGTTTTTCATGTTTTGCAAGGACAACCGATTGTTACTTAGTAGATATATTAATTTACTGTTAGAGATAAATATTGATTTACTACATCAGTAAGTTAAAAGAGTGAACTGGAGTAGTTTTGAATTGCTGGTTCTAGGTGTGTTTCAGACCAGAGTTTATAAAATCACACGGTTACGCACGACAACCTTCTCTGTTTTTTTGAAACCACAGTAATACTCGCGGCAACCGCACGATTTTCATGGTAACCGCGGACGCACTTAGGCTGTGTTTAGTTTCACATCAAAATTGAAAGTTCGAAGAAATTGAAACAATGTGATAGAAAAGTTGGAAGTTTGCATGTGTAGAAAATTTCAATATGACAAAAAAGTTAAAAATTTAAAGAAAAAAAGTTGGAATCTAAACAAGGCCTTAAAGTTTGGTGAATCTGCTTCCGAAAAAACTGATCTTCTCACATCATCTGTGGTTGCCTCGAATTATTCACAGGTTTCGGATCTACCATTTGGCAGGAAGGTAGAGTGGCAAGTACTACTATACTGCAAGTGCAATAACCAGAAGAAACCACTAAAATAATTGATTATTCTCATTTGTTGGAAGCTATGGTACGAGCGAAACGTTAGGACCTTCCAACACGTCACCAAGACAAAAGAAAGAGGCAACGATTTAGGTTAAATCAAAGCAACAAAGCTCACAGAGATAAAAGAAAAAAGATATTCCATAGAGTAATTTACTAATACTTCTTTTGTGGACGCTTGTCTTTCTGGCAGAGCCATATTAACACTTTAAACTCTTTGCTCCTACTCTATTAATACATACGGGGTATAGCTTTTGTCATTCTTTAAATAAAATATAGTTACAATTCAAGATAAATTTTTAAGAGCCCATTTCATATGCTATCACAACTCAGATGATGTTTGGTCTTTCTAGTCTAAATGTATAATATAGAAGGGCTTATAAGGAGGAAAGCAATCTACGTTAAGGACTTCTCTCATTGTACATGGTCCTAAGGCAGGATAAAATGGTGGTATATATATGTTAGAGTGCGCAGCCCGGCCCACCAACCGTGGGCCACCCAGGTCACATTGGACCTACTCTACCACAGGCCCAACTGGAGCCACAACTTTAGGTCCTGGGCCTACACAACCCAAAAGACTAGTCTGATGGGTGAGGACCGTCCCCACCTGTCATGCTCCCCCATCATCAATTACCGATGTGTGACTAAACCCAACAATCTCTCCGTCACACATCGGGCCCAACAATCTCCCCCGTCACATCAACCCATGTGACCCCGAAGACTTGTTACCTGGCCTCAGGCCCAACAATCTTCCCCGTCACATCAATCCATGTGACCCCGAAGACTTGTTACCTGGCCTCTCCACCATGTGACCCATAGAAATTGTTCTGGGTTCCAAACCTTGGGCTCTGATACCACTTGTTATAAAACTAGCCCCGAAATCGACATCGGTAGCTAAATGCGGAAGAAAACGCCAGAGGAGATCCAAAACGATGACGACACTGAGACACGATATTTGGTAACGGAGTTCAGCCGTAGCCTACATCTCCGGGGCACTGATTACCGGCGCTCCTCCCAGATCCAGCATATACAACGTATCAGAGTTACAACGACTCACGGTCGGTCGCCGCCGGCAGCCGCTCCCTCTCGCTATGCTAAGTCGCCATGCGGTTACAACAGGCACGCCCCTCTATTTATGAGGGATCCTAGGATAGAGTCCGACTCTTACTCTAGTCCTAATAACTATTACAACTCCAAGTCCTAAAATGTAACCGACTATGTACACATATTCGACACAAACTCTAACAAACTCCACCTTGACGAATATGCCACGCCAAACTAAATTTGTTACTTGCTCAAACCTCCGTGTACCAGGATTTGAGTTGGTTCTGCCGCAGCTCACGCCGAGCCGCCCAACGAGCCTACGCCAGGCTCGCCGCCTTCAGGATCGTGCACCGCAACACCAGCATACCCATCTTCCATTACTCCACCTGCAACAGCACTCCCTTGTAACTTGTACAAACATGAGCTCGTCCTCTCACCAGTCATAACAGTCTTGCCGTCCTTCATGATATTCATGGTCTTCCTATCAGAATCCTCACCACGAGCTGCTAAACTTGCAATGCCACCTTTCCTCTTCTTCAGTAACGGGCAATTCCTCCTTATATGTCCAAACTCATGACACTTATTGCACCGTGCCCCTTCTCCTTGCTCTTCGACACCCCCGCTTCATGATCATGCTTTGGCTTGACCAGCAAACTCTCAGCCTGATAAGCCTCCGTTGCCTCGTTTTTCTTTGATCTTCTCAAGTCTCGTGCAAGCAACGACGAAATTACCTCCTCAGTTTTGACAGTATCCTTGTCGTGCGTCAGGGTAGTCACCACATGTTCATACGACGGTGGAAGCGAGCACAGAAGAATTATGGCCTTGTCTTCATCATCCAGTTTCACATCTAATTTACTTAGATCCACAACCAATTGATTGAAGACGTCCACGTGCTTCCTAAGATTTGACTCCTCTTGCATCTGCAAACTATACAGCTATTGTTTGAGATACAACTTACTCGTCAGTGACTTGGACATATACAGGCTTGCCAACTTGTCCCAAATTTCCTTCGGCGTTTTTTCATCCATGACCTGGTACATGACAGAATCCGAGAGACTTAAGCGTATTGTTGCAGCTGCCTGCGCCTTCATCTCATTCCACTTGTCAGAATCCATCTTTTCCGGCATCGTCTCCTGAAGTGCCTTGGATATCCCCTGTTGAGCCAACAGATTCTTCAGCCTCATCTGCCAGAGAACGAAATTCCCGGTGCCATCGAACTTCTCCACCTCAAATTTGGAAACCACCGTCGCCGCCATCGACGATAATCAACTTGATCAGCTGTCGACCTGATTAAATTGATCTGCCCTGATTTAATTGACCCACCGACTAAACTTGCACAGTCACCAGCCGGACAAAACCACCTTTTTCTTTTTCTCCAGAAAAAACCGGTGTCGAATATGTGTACGTAGTCGGTTACAGTTTAGGACTTGGAGTTGTAATAGGTATTAGGACTAGAGTAAGAGTCGGACTCTATCCTAGGATCCCTCATAAATAGAGGGGCGTGCCTGTTGTAACCGCATGGCGACTTAGCATAGCGAGAGGGAGCGGCTGCCGGCGGCGACCGACCGTGAGCCGTTGTAACTCTGATACGCTGTATATGTAGTGCCCCGGAGATGTAGGCTACGGCTGAACTCCGTTACCAAATATCGTGTCTCGGTGTCGTCATCGGTTTTGGATCTCCTCTGACGTTTTCTTCCGCATTTAGCTACCGATATCGATTTCGGGGCTAGTTTTATCACAATATATTTACATAAGCATTCCATCGAAGATAGCCTTAGAATGGTGTGACGCCCCAGCATGATTGACAAAAAAAGAAAAAAGAAAGAAAAAGAGCAAAGCAAACAGCAAGCAGGCTTTTGGCCTTGGGCTTAAACTCGAGCAGCAGCAGCAGCTCTAGCAACAGCAGTACAACAGCGAATTAGCTAGTGGAGGAGCCAGTGTTTACGATTTCGACGAAATCCGGTCGGATTTCGCGAAATTTCGACGTTCCGACGAGGCTCGAAAGTAGAAACAGTTTGAGATTTCGAGGAGTTTCATCTAAATTTAAATTTAAATTGATAAAAAATGAAATAAAATCTTATAAATACTATGATATTCATAGAACTTATTGGGATATAAATTTCCGAAAAAAATGATGTATTATGTGTATTTACTAAAACTTACATCATGCAAAAAAAAATTTCAGCAAATTACCTCCATTACAAATTACTGATCGAAATTTCGATGATTTCGATCGGAATTTCGCCAAAACCGACCGGTTTTCGAGAACTCGTCGGCAACTTAGGGAATTTGTATTCAAATTTTGGTTTATGAAATTTGTATGGAATTTACCGGTTTTCTACCGGATTTCGCGAAATTTTAAATTCCGCCAGTGCCCGAAACGGAAGGGCCTGTCGGAATCGTAAACCCTGAGTGGAGCAAGCTAGGCAGCAGCAGCACCTAGTTTTTAGTCCCACCTCGGTTGCCAAGCTTGAGGTGGTGTTTGGATCTAGGGACTAAACTTTAGTCCCTGTCATATCGGATGAATTTAGAGTATTAAACATAGACTACTTATAAAACTAATTACATAAATGAGAGCTAATTCGCGTGATAATTTTTTTAAGCCTAATTAATCCGTAATTAGCACATGTTTACTGTAGCATCATATAGGCTAATCATGGATTGATTAGGCTCAATAGATTCGTCTAACGAATTAGTCCAGGGTTTTAGAATAGGTTTTATTAATAGTCTATATTTAATATTTATAATTGGTTTCTAAATATCCGATATGATAGAGACTAAAAAGTTTTAGTCCCATCTAAACAATATCGAGTAGGTATGACACTACTAGAAAAAGCATTTTTCGCGACGTGGGGATCTCATTTTCGCAGGCGGACATAACCCTTAGAGCCAAATGACCGCCTACAAAAATATAAATCAGGGTGAAATCTACCGTCCGCCTGTGAAAATCTATTTTCGCAGGCGGACCACTTAAGCGGCGCCTGCGAAAATCATTTTCGCAGGCGCCATTTTCGCAGGCGCCGCTTAAGTGGTCCGCCTGCGAAAATAGACTTGAATATAAATAGATTGAATATAAATAGACTGGGATAGGAGTAAATTTTTTTCTAAGTCCCAAATCCTCACCCCTCCCCTCACCCTCTCCTCCCCTCCCCTCACCTCTCCTCCCCTCAGGCCCTCACCCTCTCCTACGGCGGCTACACGCGCGGGGAGGCGCGGAAGGCGTCCGGCGGCGGCGGCAACGATGCGGCTCGGCGGCGGCTCCCCTCCCCCCCTCCCAGATCTGGCCGGAGGAGGGAGGGGGGAGGCCGGCGGCGACGACTACGGCGCAGGGCGGCGGCGGCGACGACGGTGCGATGACGGCGGCGGCGACGACGACGACGACGACCGGCGCGGCTCCCCTCCCCTCCCCTCCCCTCCCGCCCGGCGCGGCAACGCCGGAGGAGGGCGGCGGCCCGCCGCCCGTGATTTTGTTTTGTTTTTTTAATGGATTTTCGCAGGCGGGCTGTTGCCCCGACTGCGTAAATAGATGATTTTCACAGTCGTTAAGCTACTGGCGGTCCAACCCTCCGCCTGCAAAAATCAATTTTGACCGCTTAGAAAAATGCTTTTTCTAGGAGTGTGATCGGATCACTATACCTTTTTAGGTCATGAACGTTACCAAATGGTTAGATCTTAAGCTTTGTTCATAGATAGCTTTGTTCAGGTTAATTAGGTTAGGTGATAACCTGGTGCCTGTTCTATCAAACTAGAGGCGACCTACCGTTGGCAGTAGTAGAACGGCAGATTTTTTTTTTTTTTGAAAAGACAGTATAAAGGCAAACACTCGTGTATACACGCTCACCCCACACTCATATATAATAAGTGTATACACTAGCTAGTCGGTATGAATGTACACACGTATATTAATATAAGCTTATAAAAAACTATGTTGGCATATCTTGATAATGATAAAATCATCACAAACATATTTTTGTTAACAACGAGTATATTGTCCACCACTGAAAGAATAGTTACCTGTAAATATATATGAGCACACGTGCGGTGTCTAAAACTTAAACCTGGGTGACTATGTCTTATTACAACGAACCTTATTAGCTAAGCTATGCGAAGTTCATGAAAGGTAGAATTTAAACTTAACAGTTATTTTTCGTAGATATTTAAAGCATTTATTTGAGACTTGATAAAGTAAACTTTAGCCATTCATCTATTGTAATATGTCATCTGACATTGACATGTAAATTTGCAATTTGCGCTACATTTATTGCTAAAGTTTCGCGGGCATCCCTATAACCAATGTTTTCACTTTGAACTGGTTATTTTTATCATTTTTAACAATTTGGAACACTCTAAGCAATTTCTTCGGTATACATTTAACTATTTTAAGCAATTTCTCCGGAACACCAGCGAAATATATATCCCCCGTTTATGGATGTGCAGCCCATATTTTTGCCAGAATGGAGGCTAGATATGGATATATAAAAAGAGAGTTGGATGATTCAAACTACACCGGTCTAAAGTAACAAAAAAAAAGAAACAAAAAGAGAGATTGATTTAAGGGTGATTCACAGTAAAACTTTAATAATTTAATAATAAAATATGGTTTAAACAGTAAATCACTCTAAATTTATCATGTTTGATTCTAATGTTACATTTTTACCCTTGTGAAATTTCTACCACATATTCCACCACGTGTAGTGTGTAATAGAATAAGATCCATTATTAGATCCAAATTAAGCAACGGGCGGCCCATAATAATCCTTCCAAGGTGGAGTACGATCACAACACCCCGTCCCTGTTGTACCAAGCTTTAAATTTTATTTTGCTTTCTATAAAAGCAGGATGTTTTCTTCTTCGTAATAAAAAAGAAAAGATAATCATCCCCCCAAAAAAGAATGCAGCCTGTCCTGCCTGCATACTGTGCGGCCAGAAAAGGTTGTGAATCAGAATTGTGGACACGATTGGCCAGTGCAGGATGGGGCCAGATTAATTAACACGCAATGTAATAATGTTGACGCCCATAATAAGTTTTGCCTTAGCTGTTCATGAGCTGAATTTTCTCTGTACATCTCACTATCTCGTCGGCTGTACATGATCAGATGATCATCTATTCCTATCTTGAAAAATCGAACTAACAAAGCAAGTGATTCATCCTGCTAATAAGCCCATGCATAAACTTAAACAGATCAAAGCCATCAAACATGCCTTATTTTGTTTCCATCAACAATTCCTAGCTGATGAATAATACCATATAGTTGTGATTTATTCGTTGGGGGGAGCTAATACAATATAGATGATCTTGCTGATCAAAAAAATAATTACCACTAAGTAGTAAGCACGTAATTAGTAGCAGTAGTAGTGTACAAAACTAGCGTGAGCTAGCTCAAAATGAGTACTACATGGGATTACTACGCCCCTACACATCGATCGATCGATTTGATACAAGATTACAAGCGACGGCGCGGCGGCGGTGGCCGGCGGCGGGCGGCGATCAGAAGGACGGGACGACGCCGTAGCCGAAGTCGAGCATGTAGGAGGATGGGACGGCGGCGGGGTCGTCGGCGTCGGCGTCGGCGTCGTCGGCGTCGTGGTCGGCGCGCTTGGCGAAGCGGCCCTTGATCCGGGGGCGCGTCTCGGCGTAGGCCTTGCGCGACGCGTACCGGATCGTCTTCTCGAACCGCCGGTTCTTCCGCTTCTCCCTGTACCTCATCAGCCTCGCCTCCCTCCCTTCCCCCATCGCCGCCGCCCGCTCCGGCACCACGCCCACGTCGACCACCGACGACGACATCTGCGCGCTTACTACGCTGTGGCTCGGAGGAGGAGTCGCCGTGTACGGCATGTAGGGTTGAGGCTTCGGCCTCGTGAAGTCGAGATCGATGGCGCCGCCGCCGCCGCACATGGCCTCCGGCACCACGCCCACCTCCGACGACGAGCCCTGAAGGTGAACACGTAGCGAGATCGATCAGAGACGAATCAGGAAGGTGTTCGACTGTTCGTGCGTACGGATGGCGAGGGAACTCACGCTGTGAGCGAGGTCGGTGGCGGTGTAGGAGCTGTAGGACTGCTTGGCGCCGCCGACGCCGACGCCTAGGCCGCAGGTGAAGTCGAGCTCTATGGCGGCGCCGGCGCCGGCGCCGTTGGGGACGACGCTGTCGGCGTGGGGGAAGCGGGCGAACTCGACGTTGAGGTAAGGGTCGAGGTCGGAGAAGAGGTAGTCGAGCTTCATGTCCTTCGCCTCCACGTTGAGGTTGAGCGCGCCGTGCTGCTGCCGCTGCTGGTGGTGGTGGTGCTCGGCCGCGGCCTTATCCTCCACCGCCTCGGCCTCGGCCCCGGCGGCGGCGACGCCGAACAGCATGGCCTCGGCGGCCACGGCGGCGGCGGCGGCGGAGCCGATGGGCGCGACGGGGACGCGCGCGTGGCGGCGGGCCAGCGGGTTGGCGTCGTGGATGTCGGCGTCGCAGGCGGCGCAGAGCACCGCGGCGTCGGCCTTGCAGGTGACGGCGGCGGGCGCCACCTCGCAGACCTCGCACACCCACACCCGCTCGTGCGCCGCCCGCGCGTGGCCCGGGCGCGCGTCGCACGCCGTGCACAGGTACACCCCGCCGCAGCCGCGGCAGTGCACGGCCGCCGGCGACGCCTCGCACGCACCGCACCGCCGCCCGCCGACGCCCCAGTACTTGCGCAACTCCATCATGGCTCAGCTCGGCAACTCGGCGTGGCGTGGCGTGGCGCGGCGCGGCGGCAATGGTGGGGAGGGGAGGAAACTACGCGCGTGGTAGAAGTAGAAGAAGGCGGGTAGGTTAGGAGGGGGGTGACGTGGCGGGGAGGGGACACGTGGTGGGCGGGGAGCCAAGCGAAATGGGTTGAATAATGGAGGAGTGGGATTTTGCGGGGGGGTGTGGGGGTGGGGGTGGGGCCCACGCACGAGGGGGATGATATCTGCGTCATGTCAGGTCGGGGTCAGGCCGGCCCGTCTTGGGTTGGGTTTGGGTTGGGTCGGGGTTGGAAATGGGGTTGGCTTTTCGGGGGAAGGAGCTAATCCTCATCACGGTAATGGTGGATTAGACTCCGACCGTGACGGACCGACGGTGAAGTCACACAATTACTGGCCATGAACGTCACAACAATTAGCAATGGATGGACCTGGCATGGTCCTTTTTTTTTAATGACTCACGCCAGACAATGCCAAGTTCATATTGATATAGCAGGACAAAAATATAAGATTACAACCCTGAAAGGTCGTAACTAGGAAAAAGAAAAAGACCACCACCCACGCACCGACTGCTCCAACACACGGACCCCCGAGGAGACTAGCACCGAACCGGCCGCCGCTAGACCAACAGAGGAACTACAACCGGGATCGCCCAAGCCCAACCCTAACAAACAGACATAGAGATGCACTCTAACCACAACTTTGGGATTGAGGGAGAGAGGGTGAGAGAGAAGATGGAACCGTTCTCCCCCTAGGCCTTCCGTTGTGGTCAACTTGTATAAGCTAGAGCGCTGACATAAGAGGACCGAAATCTAGAGCAAGCTTACACTGATTGTCTGGGTGGTTTTGGCTAGGGGTTGCCTAGACGACGTCTTCAGGGAGCAAATTGACGGAAACACTGTCGTCGTCGTCCGTCGAGGCCTCAAAGGAGAGCCGAGACTGAGTTTTCACCCGGCAAAACCCCTAGAGGTGATGGGACGTCACGACAACGCCCTCAAGAGGGAAAGCGACGCTCGAAAGCGATGTTGTTGCTGGCTCGGCCAGGCCAAGGCCAGGCTGGGTTTTCACCTATCGTTCACCACCTGCCTATTCACCAATGTCGCCACAATGCTCCGCTACCATCGAAACCTCCATCAGCTCGTGGGCACTGAGCCGGCGCCGACCGCCGGCCAGCCTCACTAGCCTCCCTGCTGCCAACTCCCTGCCGTCGCCCGCATTGGCTCTCCGCACCAACGGTCGGGCCGACCTCTGCCGTCGCCTGTACCGAAAGCTCTCGGCGCCACCCGCACCGCCGCCGTCGCCGTCCATGTCACTGCGCCATCCTCTCCTCCACGCACCGCAACGGCATGTTTGCCGTCATCGGCCGTGCCTCCAGGGCGTCCACGCCTCCATGCCACCAGCCCCGTCCTCCCTGCAACCGCCGGCGTCACCATGCCGGCCTCCCGTTGCCATCACACCATCACGTGTCCTCCGCACAAGTAGCCCAGCCCGTCACCGATCTCCTCTCCCCGCATCCACCTCCGGCTGCCGGCGTTGCTCGCGCGCCAGCACATACGCCCGCCGTCCTTGCCATCGGCCGCCAGATATGGCCAAGGGGGTCCAGATCTAGCAGCGCCCACCACGGTCGCTGCCGCCTCACCACCACCGCCACTACAATCCCGCCGCCGGCCGCCTTCTCCTCGTCTGCCTCTATCAGCGCTTGGCGCACGCGGATCCGGTGAAAGGCGCCGCTGCCGCCTCAATCCCCGCCTCCATCTCCGACTCCCACCATCCACCGTGCGCCGAGCCGTCTGCACCGCCTTCTCCCGTGCGCCCGCCGTCCACAGCACCTCCGCCCGTGCGCCGGCCTTGACACCGGCGCCGCTCCGGCCAACCTCCGCCTTTGTGCCCGCCCGCGCTGGAACTCAGGAGATTGACCGCAGCGAGCCCCACCGCTGCCGTCCTTGCGAGGCAAGGCAGAGGAAGGGGTGAAGAAGGGCGGCGGCTGCGGCTAGGGTTCCGCCGCCCGAGTCGCCCAACGCGGGGGGGGGGGGGGGGGGGGGCGACGCGGGGGCCTGAGGAGTAAGAGCGCCAGTGGGAGGAGTGTGTCTTCATGGCCCGTTTTAAGCTCGTCAAGGACGGGTTTACAAAGCTAAAGATGCACTCCCTCCGTCGAGAAAAATAAAACCCGCTTTTGTGTATGTCCAAGTGTGTTTTGTTTTTAACGGAGGGAGTATATGACTAGAGAAGACAAAATTTGCTATAGCACCACTGTTGATAAAAAAATGACATGGATGTAGAGTATAAAAAAATTAGTGATTACTCTCTCCATCTAAAAGTAAAGCAAACTAATGTCCAGATTCGATGTAGTATTAGGTGGTGTCAAATTCACTCCTAGATTGCTTTAGTTTGGAAAGGAGGTAGTTGTAAGACACCATGAACACAATTTTTTCATTCAATGGTCACATTAGTAAAATACCATATTGATCCTAAGCAGCCTGATAATCTATATGGGTCTGGTTCGAATGAGACATAAGTCAAAATTCTTTTCTTGATCCCATCTATAGAACTCTAAAAATTGAACCAGGCGGTGATGGTGTCTATGGTGGCGCCCACAAACCGGAGGTGCCCAGTAGCGAGAGCAGAAGTAGAAGGAGGTTGATTCAAGCGGCACCTTGTCCCCATTGACCTACTCTGTTATGACTCACGCCAATCCCCTCCCCCTGTCTCTCTCTGTCTATTTCTCAAACCCTAGCAAGCGGTGAGATCAAAGCATACGCGACGGCGAGCGAGAGCAACGATAGAACTGGTGGCGAGCGACCGTTGGAAAGTGGTGGAGTGAACATAGATGGCTTGCTGTACATTGATTCATGAGTACCTGACACGGTGCTGTAGCTAGTTTAGGGGAGGGAGAATCGGGGTAAGTAGTAAGATTATTGCTCAGGTTTGGTTGAACTAGACCAAGCCAAATACATGATGGCCCAAAGGGAATTGTTGTCCTTCTATCTATCTGGCTACGATATAATAGAATAATGGTTTCGGTATCCTACACAACTAATTACCAACCTTTTGACATCCATAGTTGTGTCTTTTTTCATGATGTCTATAAACAAAATCCATACATTTGTGTGGATGTTATTAGAACTATTGAATTTAAGGGCTCTCATGTTGTCGGTGTCGTCGAACTCTAATGTCAGACCTCGCAACTGTGCCATAGTGATGTGATGAGCTTTAGTGGCTGCATATATAGTGTCACGTAGCCTAGCCTAGATTTACTTAATAGTTAATTAGTTATGAGTACAACTTATATTTTATAACAGACAACCGAATTTATAACCTCAACATCTTTAAGATGCATGCTTGAATTATCCAAGTTTTCTTAACATTGTCTGCCTTCATCATAGTGGAACAAATCTAAAGTCAATACTATCTCCAGTTGCAAAATTTTGGCTATAAATCAAAGACTTATGCAGTTGTTAATCCATTGGCCAAAATTTTGGCTATAAATCAAAGACTTATGCAGTTGTTACAGCAACATTCCTACATTAGATTATTATTTTGGTCAAAACAAAAATCATGCTCCATTAGCATAGACTTATTTAGTGTCCTCACTGCTTAAGATGTCACGAAAGCAACCACTCTTTTGGGGTCACTTGCCGCAACTTGCACAATTCATAAAAAGCTGGAAAAGACAAAGATTAGCTTTATACACACAACGCCGTCAAACCGCGCCGTTAGGAGATTAGCATCTGTCACCTTGATAATTAGCCTGTGACACCCTTCACGTCAGTATCTTGCCAGCTTTCCCTTGCCACCTAAACAGATCTTGGGTTAGAGGAAATGTCCATACTACCCTCAATGTAAAGCGACAGCCAAAAGATGGCTTTGCACTCCAGTTGTGGAAAACGTTTTTAATTTATCTAATAAACTAAGTATGAACATGTTGCTATCCGTAGTATGTATAATAGCGTAAAATATTTATCTAGCTAAAGAATAGTGTTTGTAGAATAAACAATAGAAGTAGAAATTTAAAGGGAGTAATTGGGTTGTTTTATGTCAATATCAGTGTTTTTATTGTTGAAGAGTGGCGGCAAAAAGTCTCTTAAATTTGACTAGGTTCAGTTTAACATTGAGTATATAAGTCCTCCAAATTTGCCATTTGGTTCAAAAGTGTCCTAGTCCCACTCCCAACTAGAGCCCACCTACAAGTACTCAGCCTTGGTAGCATATTCTTGTGTGAAAAGCATATAATTCTCTCATGCATCTCATATTCTCACGTAGAGAAAAAAAAAGGAAAGGCAAGATTGATCACAAAATTGCATTAGCTTTCATATGATTGCCTATTGCCTAGTATAAAGTATTGTACTCTAGCATCCCTTGCTCGGAGATGGCATTGACGCATTGTCCTCTTTAATAATCACATGCGGTTAGGTTCCTACCCAGCAAATTAAAAACTTCAAGCTATCCAAATTTAAACGTATTTCAACACTCCCGTTGTTTTATATTATAAGTTGTTTGATTTTTTTTCTTATTCAAAGTTGTATCCAAGTCATTTAGGTTTAGCCAAGTTTATAAAAAAAAAACTAGCAACTCTACAACACAAAATTAGTTTAATTAAAGTTAACATTGAATATACTTTGATACAACGTTTGTTTTGTATTGGAAATATTACTATATTTTTCTATAAATTTGATCAGATTTAAAAAAGTTTTACTAAAAAAATCAAACGACTTATAATATGAAACAGGGTGGGTAGAAAATAGCACTATTGGCTACCCATATTGCAAGCCATTTTTGGCTACATCACTAGTACTGATGTGCCACAAATATACTCCTGTAAGTTAATGCATGTTAGGTGCCACCTCCTTAAAAACCTTGTGTGACATCCTAATTTGTAATAGCCAATCTATCTTCTAAAGTTGTAACCCCCCTAGCCCCTAGCCCCTCTCGTCCTTTTTTTTTCTTAACTCTTTGAAACTTAGGGCACGTTCGGTAGAGGTCTGGATTTGGAGTAGAGCTGTGGAACTGTCTAAATCTAGCTCCACCAATCTAATTTATTTTGTAAAGCAATCCAGCCAACTCCACTCTCTTTTTAGGTGAAGCGAACACACCCTAGCTTATTTGTGTTTCCTGATTTTATTCCTTCTCAATATAACTGGCAGAGCTCTTGCCATCGTC